TTGCCATTCCAGGATCCTAACCTGAAGTACTTCTTTGAGCCTTTCCACATAACAGTATCAGGAAAATTATATGGCTCCATCCCATAAGTGAAGTCACCAGGGCATGGATCATCTTGGGACGTCCATGCTGATAGTTGTCTATTAAGACCAATCCTTAAGTCCCATCCAAGTTTCATCCCTGCCAGCAAAGTATCGGTAGGATAATCAAAGCTTTGCCACAAAAGTATTTCTGATTTACCAGCAATTCTATCTTTTAGAACAAGATTTCCAGAATCCAGGAGCTGCACTACTGGGTTTTGAGCTTCTATCTTTGAATTTGATGCCCAAACAACACTTCTGCTTTGACTGAGGAGTACCAGATTGCCCATGCTATTTATCAATTATCATCAAAACACCTGACAAGTCATTTATTGGGCTGCACCTGTTTGTAACCCTTGAACTGAGACTTTCCTGAACCAAATTCCCAAGTAACAACTCCTACCAGAGCTTCCAGACTGAAAACCCCCAGTTCAAAGCTTCCATCACTAGAAACTAAGGTTCTGCCGTCGATAAGATTTTCGAATGAGGTGATGATATCAGTTCCATATGAGAATCTAGAGAAGAAAAGAAGTAAGAGGTTCATACTATTCATAAAAAATGGAATGTCCATTGGTTTGCTAGTTTTCCAAAAAATAGTACCAGGTTTACAAATTACAAGGGTAAATATATCCAAAAATGCACTAGTCTAGAGTGTTGAGTGGCTAGTGTGCACAAGCAGACTCCAACTATGAATTTATTTAACTCAATCCATTTGATTTGCAACTCACATGTGTAGGGCCAAAACCTCATAACTCGTGAATGTGTAGGTCAATGGTCACCTTCTTTTATGCTTGTAAACCTGCTTGATCCAATCCATCTAACCTGCAACCATAATGACCTAACCCAACGCAACCCATTTATCACGTCTATGTGCTAGTTTTCCCTGCAATGATCAACGGCAATCCTCTGTTTTCTAGCTGACAAATTGGGAGCCTTATGCAGTCTCAACTACCCTTGAAAACACAGCACGTTTGCAAGTCTTCCCTAAAATGACCGATGACAGTTCTCTGTTTTCTAGATGCATGACTAATTCGGAACCATATTGTAGTTCATAGACATACTATTTCTTCCCTAACAATTTCCTGAGCTCTTCTGATATTTCTTGGGGATAGATTTGGGAAAAGGGGAGAGTTATCCCTTGTTGTATAACTCGTCATAAAGAGGTACCCAAAAAATATATTATAAACGCTCTTTTATCTCTTTTTAATGAAACAAAACTAAAACCGTTACAACAAGTTGAATGTTCTAAACTGTAATGCCCCTGGTTTTAGTTTCTTTTAATCCTTCAAGGAAACTAGAATCATACTAATAAAAACATATGAAGTGGGAGTAATAGAAACTATAAATATTTAACAAGGAATATATAAAGCAATTCAAGTACTGAAACCATATTTTCAAATTTTGTAAACAAAAGGTATGCTAAGTTGTTCAAAACAAGATTGGCAGAAGCCAAGGCCAAGCTCCTTTCATTTTATATTCATCAATGTGCAGTAAAAAATGATTTACAAAGCAGCATATGCATGTACTTTTCAAGAAGATATACAGAAGAGTCATAACCTGCAATCTCCAGTTTTGATTATACACTGATTTGCTTGACTTTCAAGTATAATGAGGATGATTTACTTGACTTTCAAGTATAATGAGGATTCTAACTCCTACACACTAGCAGCATCAATGACTTATACCCAAAGCTTGCTAAGCTGCGATAAACCACTACACAAGCTAATAATCTGAAAGGAGGGGAAAAAATAAAGGGGCAAGGTAAAATCTCAGTATGCATAGTCTGTAATATTCACACATGAAGTTTCAAGGCAAGAAAAACCACAAGGCATGTTATACAGTCAACTCAAGGTCTAGGTTCATTACAAGTCACACACATGCGTTCCAATTTCCACTTGAGGAATGCAAATTCAATACAGGCAACTCAATAACAGGAAATATCAATATATGCACAGAAAGAACCCAGTAACAGAAAATACCAATCAAAAGCATGCTGATTCATATTATTAACTTAGCCCAAATTCCTACCCATTTAATCTAAGAAAGTCTGTTTCCTTCTCTTTCTCTCTCCCAATCCAAGCACCCCTAAAAATACCACATACTTACTTTGAAGAAACACTATCGAGCAAATAAAATGCTAACACTGTAAAAACCAAGCAGACAGCAAGGTTTATGAGGTAGAAGTCCAGTCATGCATGC